ATGCTGTCTGCACATGCTGTCAGGCACCACCACCGCAGAGGCTCCGGGATCAGTGCTGCGGCAGAACACACTCCGCTTCCTCATGCCGCGCCCGCAGCTCTTTGAGCACTGTGGCCAAAGAAACACCCACAAATGCATTAGACACCGCTGCATTATACACAGCTGCATTATACACAGCTGCATTATGCACCGCTGCATTAGACACCGCTGCATTATACACAGCTGCATTAGACACCGCTGCATTATACACAGCTGCATTATGCACCGCTGCATTAGACACCGCTGCATTATACACAGCTGCATTAGACACTGCTGCATTAGACACAGCTGCATTAGACACCGCTGCATTATGCACAGCTGCATTATGCACCGCTGCATTAGACACCGCTGCATTATACACAGCTGCATTAGACACTGCTGCATTAGACACAGCTGCATTAGACACCGCTGCATTATACACAGCTGCATTATACACCGCTGCATTATACACAGCTGCATTATGCACCGCTGCATTAGACACCGCTGCATTATACACAGCTGCATTAGACACCGCTGCATTAGACACAGCTGCATTAGACTCCGCTGCATTAGACACCGCTGCATTATACACTGCTGCATTATGCACATCTGCATTATACACCGCTGCATTATACACCGCTGCATTATGCACCGCTGCATTAGACACCGCTGCATTATACACAGCTGCATTAGACACTGCTGCATTAGACACAGCTGCATTAGACACCGCTGCATTAGACACAGCTGCATTAGACACCGCTGCATTATACACAGCTGCATTATACACCGCTGCATTATACACAGCTGCATTATGCACCGCTGCATTAGACACTGCTGCATTATACACAGCTGCATTAGACACAGCTGCATTATACACAGCTGCATTAGACACAGCTGCATTAGACACAGCTGCATTAGACTCCGCTGCATTAGACACCGCTGCATTATACACTGCTGCATTATGCACAGCTGCATTATACACCGCTGCATTATACACCGCTGCATTATGCACCGCTGCATTATGCACCGCTGCATTAGACACCGCTGCATTATACACAGCTGCACAATGCATCGCTGCATTATGCACCGCTGCATTATACACAGCTGCACAATGCACTGCTGCATTATACACCGCTGCATTATACACCGCTGCATTATACACCGCTGCATTATACACAGCTGCATTAGACACCGCTGCATTATACACAGCTGCACAATGCACTGCTGCATTATGCACCGCTGCATTATACACAGCTGCATTAGACACAGCTGCATTAGACACCACTGCATTATACACGGCTGCATTAGACACCGCTGCATTATACACAGCTGCACAATGCACTGCTGCATTATGCACCGCTGCATTAGACACCGCTGCATTATACACTGCTGCATTATACACAGCTGCATTATGCACAGCTGCATTATGCACCGCTGCATTATGCACCGCTGCATTATACACCGCTGCATTATACACCGCTGCATTATACACAGCTGCACAATGCACTGCTGCATTATGCACCGCTGCATTATACACCGCTGCATTATGCACAGCTGCATTATGCACCGCTGCATTATACACAGCTGCATTAGACTCAGCTGCATTAGACACCGCTGCATTATACACTGCTGCATTATACACAGCTGCATTATGCACAGCTGCATTATACACCGCTGCATTATGCACAGCTGCATTATACACTGCTGCATTATACACAGCTGCATTATGCACAGCTGCATTATGCACCGCTGCATTATGCACCGCTGCATTATACACCGCTGCATTATACACCGCTGCATTATACACAGCTGCACAATGCACTGCTGCATTATGCACCGCTGCATTATACACCGCTGCATTATGCACAGCTGCATTATGCACCGCTGCATTATACACAGCTGCATTAGACTCAGCTGCATTAGACACCGCTGCATTATGCACAGCTGCATTATGCACCGCTGCATTATGCACCGCTGCATTATACACCGCTGCATTATACACCGCTGCATTATACACAGCTGCACAATGCACTGCTGCATTATGCACCGCTGCATTATACACCGCTGCATTATGCACAGCTGCATTATGCACCGCTGCATTATACACAGCTGCATTAGACTCAGCTGCATTAGACACCGCTGCATTATACACTGCTGCATTATACACAGCTGCATTATGCACAGCTGCATTATACACCGCTGCATTATGCACAGCTGCATTATACACCGCTGCATTATACACCGCTGCATTATACACAGCTGCATTATACACCGCTGCATTATACACAGCTGCATTATGCACCGCTGCATTAGACACCGCTGCATTATACACAGCTGCATTAGACACAGCTGCATTATACACAGCTGCATTAGACACAGCTGCATTAGACACAGCTGCATTAGACTCCGCTGCATTAGACACCGCTGCATTATACACTGCTGCATTATGCACAGCTGCATTATACACCGCTGCATTATACACCGCTGCATTATGCACCGCTGCATTAGACACCGCTGCATTATACACAGCTGCACAATGCATCGCTGCATTATGCACCGCTGCATTATACACAGCTGCACAATGCACTGCTGCATTATACACCGCTGCATTATACACCGCTGCATTATACACCGCTGCATTATACACAGCTGCATTAGACACCGCTGCATTATACACAGCTGCACAATGCACTGCTGCATTATGCACCGCTGCATTATACACAGCTGCATTAGACACAGCTGCATTAGACACCACTGCATTATACACGGCTGCATTAGACACCGCTGCATTATACACAGCTGCACAATGCACTGCTGCATTATGCACCGCTGCATTAGACACCGCTGCATTATACACTGCTGCATTATACACAGCTGCATTATGCACAGCTGCATTATGCACCGCTGCATTATGCACCGCTGCATTATACACCGCTGCATTATACACCGCTGCATTATACACAGCTGCACAATGCACTGCTGCATTATGCACCGCTGCATTATACACCGCTGCATTATGCACAGCTGCATTATGCACCGCTGCATTATACACAGCTGCATTAGACTCAGCTGCATTAGACACCGCTGCATTATACACTGCTGCATTATACACAGCTGCATTATGCACAGCTGCATTATACACCGCTGCATTATGCACAGCTGCATTATACACCGCTGCATTATACACCGCTGCATTATGCACAGCTGCATTATGCACAGCTGCATTATGCACCGCTGCATTAGGCACCGCTGCATTAGACACCGCTGCATTAGGCACCGCTGCATTATGCACCGCTGCATTATGCACAGCTGCATTAGACACAGCTGCATTATACACCGCTGCATTATACACCGCTGCATTATACACAGCTGCATTATGCACAGCTGCATTATGCACCGCTGCATTATGCACCGCTGCATTATACACAGCTGCATTAGGCACCGCTGCATTATGCACCGCTGCATTATACACCGCTGCATTATACACCGCTGCATTATACACAGCTGCATTATGCACAGCTGCATTAGGCACCGCTGCATTATGCACAGCTGCATTAGACACCGCTGCATTATACACCGCTGCATTATGCACAGCTGCATTAGACACCGCTGCATTATACACCGCTGCATTATGCACCGCTGCATTAGACACCGCTGCATTAGACACAGCTGCATTAGACACAGCTGCATTAGACACCGCTGCATTAGACACCGCTGCATTAGACACAGCTGCATTATGCACCGCTGCATTATGCACCGCTGCATTATGCACCGCTGCATTAGACACCGCTGAATAATTGATGCTAGAGTTAGAGATTTAGTTTTATTTTAATTAGTAAAGCCATTGTTCACTTATCTTGTGCTGTGTGCTCCTCTTTCCTACTGTTCTGTAACTTGTGATGCAACACTGACATTTCCCCGCTGTGGGACCCCGCTGAAAGAACAAGGCGAGGGCCTGGTGCTGTGAGCAGAAATGGACTAATAAAGGGTAGAAAATGAATGAATGAATGAGGAGCTCTTTGCGCTGTCGGACAAAGATAATAAAGTTGTCCCCGTCAGTCCAGATATAAGTGTAGTATAATGTCTGCACTTTCCCAATCGGGCGAAGATTAAGTTCCTTCCTTTTAAAACAGTTGGGTTGAATCATGAGTTTCTACGGCCTCTGTCACATCTTTAGATCAGATGTTTCAGACTGTAAGCTAACAAAGAGAGGACCACCCTCACTCGGCCAATCAGCTCTCAATAGGGACTCACTTGGTTCTTACAAGTTTGCAAACGATACAGAGTTTTCTAAAATGATGATAATGCAGTGGTCTGATTTGTTCACAACATGAGACTTTTAAGACTCTCTGTTTCTGTTGGGACAAACGAAATATAGAACAAAAACAAGTCCGGTACGCTAGCTTTAACTTAAAATAAACAATTAATCATAGAACCATTGCCCCTGAGAATAGCACCGGACACATGTTTGAGTTGAGAATAAAAATAAAAGCAGATACGCACATATAAAACACTTTGCTTGACTTTAACCTTGAGCTCTTTCCAATCTGGACCCCGCGGTCATTAACAAAGGGTACATCCTCAGTGGGGACGCTGCATATGCATTTGTTATCGTGCTTGTGGTGGACAAACAAACAGAAGGTCGGGAGTTTGATGACAGCCCATTATGGCCTGACATAAATACGATAACCCAATAACTCAGCGTTAGATCTAACCTCGACCTATCAGTAACAGTGCAGCCATAAACTCCACATGAAGTGCCCGAAGCGGAGGCACGGAGTCAAACGGGCCCGGTGGGAGTGACCGGCCGCCACCCGCTCTGTATTATGACACATCTGTGCTTACTCATTTACATAGAGCTGCATTCTGCTGCTGCTTCCCTCTCGGGCTCATCACGGTCGTCCCTTTGGCACCGCGGACGTCTGATTGATCTGTTCCAGGGGACCTTGTCTGGACATGACCGCTGCCTGAACTTGGTGGGCTGCTACAGAAAGGTGCGAGGAGAGAGTGAAGCCAGAGCAACAGCTGAATGTTAGGGAGAGAGCTGTGCAGGTGGCTCCGATCCACCGGCCTCCCTGGCTTTGTCAAACAGCCAATTCAGATTCATGTATTCCACTTTTGATGGGACTTTAAAGGGATCAGAATAATTATTATGAATGCAAATATGTTTTAAAGAAGGAATTTGGGTCCTCTGCATGTTTAGATTATTTTTTTTTAATCTTTGAGTTTATGTGCTTGTTTTAACGAAAATATAATTTAGTAATTGCTTTACATACTAGGCCCAAACCGAATAGATGACATTTAATGACACTAAATAATAAAAGATAGATACAGACATAACAGAAAGTAGTCACAGCCAGGGAGATAGGGCTAAAAAGAGAACCCTGAAGGCTCTGGGCCTGAGCATTAGACCTGCCTGCCACATGTTCTGCAGAGAGAGTTGATGTACAGACCAAGAGAGCTAGCAGCAAGCCCCCCCAACTGTGTACCCCCCAGGTCACACTCCATTGGTCAGTAAGGGGCTAGACAGAAGACAGTGGTGGTCCCCCAGGGACGGGGGCATGGACATCAGATATGGGTAAAATCCATACCAACTGTACAATTAATTCCTTCGATAATTGACCAATGTAGATACATGTTATGAAGAATACATGATGCAAGACTGAGTAGATGTGATGATATTTGATTTGAAAAATGTTTAAGGAAGGGAGAGGAAGAGAAACATGATGTATGCATGTATGAAAGTATGAGCACGTCACCCACATTCCCTAATATAAGGCGAGTGTGTGTGTGAATGGTTAAAGGCGGTTGGTAGGGGTCAACAGCTCAGATTGGCTGCCTCACTTCTGTCAGTCTGCCCCAGAACAGCTGTGGCTACATTAGAAGTTTACCATCGCCATTGCTTGTAGTGCATGACTAAGGCTAAGTGGTGTGTCTTTGAGTATGCACAAAGGAGCTGCAGGAAATGAATGCATTCAAACAGAAGAAGAAACATTTCTGAAGATTCTGTTCAGTTTTTCAAGCATTAAAGGCTGTCACTTCCTCCTCTTAAAAGGAGAGCCGAGTCTGGAGACATTTTTACACAACCAATAGAGGGCAGCAGAGTGTTGACTTAGCTGTCACTGGGAGCCTGCCTGTGCTGAGTGGGTGTGCTGCATACTCTAATAATGATGAAAGTAACAAAGGATTCCATAAAAATACACTCTCCATTTTGATGTTTTTCTGACAGCAACAGCTGAAGCCCTTTATATAAATGTCAAAAACTGTAAATACACCAGATAATCTGTGTTGCTAACTTTCATCTGTGGTTCCACAGTCACAAACACGCATTCATTCAGCCCTCACTGTACATATTTTTAGTGGTGGGGAAACAGGATTACCCAGAGGAAACCCAAAAAGGCCTGGAGGGGGAATCAAACCCAGAACCTCAAGTGCTATTCACTGCTAAGTAAAAATAATCTAAGTAATAATCTAAATAATGGAATAATCTTGACATTCTTCTGCGCGTTGACAAAGTAAACATTTGGCCAGGACTGACCTGTGACCAGGCCCCGCTGCTCCACTCGGGGGGGCAGGCCTGGGTGTTGCAGGGTTGGATCTGGGCTGGAGACATGACGGGACACAGGGACTGCACCGCGGCCTCTTCCCGCTGGTACGTGGCCCTCCGGAGGCAGCGCAGCGCCCGGGTCTGCTGCCCACCTCCACAGGAGCGGCTGCAGGGGCTCCAGTCTGCGGCCGACCAGCTGCACACAGGTACACAACTTATGAGGCATTTATATTATAGAAGAAAGAGCGCTTTACTATCAAAACATAACAATTCATATTTGTTTTATACAAATATGTATCTGATATTGATAATTCATATGTTAACTCATGTCAGTACCAAAGACCCCACAGAAGCAAATATTCTACATCGCCATATTTGGTCAATGAAGGCTGCTTTCCAAAATTAGCAGAGATCATTTTTCTTAACAAATATTTGTATGTCCGTGTACTACGGGGTTCAAACGTGTCGCTTGAAATAAAGAAAACAAAAATATTGGTTGACAACCCATATGTGTGTAGTAAGGGGAGTCTGGGCGTCTCTGCTTAGATGCTGCCCCTGCGACGGATGAAGCGGAAGAAAATGGATGGATGATGGACAACTCATACTCCGACAAATCCAGCCGTTGAACATTTAACGGGTAGAATAGGATTTGCCACATGCAAACAAATCAACAAATCAATTTTGAATGAACAGTTTTATAGTAGTTCTCATGTCTATGTCGTTACACAAGTGTGTGGTTTAGAACAGAAAAGTCCTCCTAATGAGACAGAAAACATAAGTACGGCGGATTATAAGAGACACGTTATATAAAGGTGTCAACGCTCACGAAGGCGGAAGTCCACTAACGAAACATGTGGTAATTAAGCAGTACTTGCTTCTTTACATGTTTTTGTCTAATTAAAAGAATCTTCCTTAAACATAAGAAGACAAAATGAATGTTTTCATATAGAAATAATTACCCACATTTTACCTCCGAACATCTCAACAGATTTGGACAGGGTTATAATTGAAATCATAAGCCAGGGGTCCCCAAACTTTTTCCTGTGAGGGCCACATAACTTTTCCCTTCCTCGATGGGGGCTGGGTCAGTTTGTAACAGAAAAAGTGTGATGATTGCAGCGTTGAAATAGTTACTAACTAATAGTTAATAATGAAAAAAGTTCATAACTAAGGAACTTTTTATTGCAAAAGTCCAACTTTATTATCAAATACACACATGGGTGTGTTCACAGTAAAGTGTCAATTAAAGTATCTGGACTTTAAAAGGTTATAACTCAAAACTAAAATTACTATCATAGATTAGAAAAAGGATTTCAAGCACAGACACATTGAAGAGATAGTGTGGATAAAATCAAAGGAAATATTGACAAATATATTTTGTCGACATTTTAAACGACCAAACCAGCCTCTGATTGGACCATTCTACTGTGACTCAGTGCACAAAAAATAAAGTGTCCTCAGTCTGAAAAAGCAGAAGATGAAATCCCACAAGACTTACATGGTTAACACAACATTAGGAAATCACTTGATATAAAAAGGAATTGTTAAAAACATAAATGACCCTTGAAAAATGTGTAACGGACGTGATGGATTTCCGTCCATTTTTCTCTAACAATTAAACTTGAGAAAAAAAAATATCTGGTCTGGTTTCACATTTAATTCATTGACTGCTGCCATTTTTGAAGATTTCACCGATTTTCAAGACCCACAAAATATTGTATGCTATGTCTATGTGAAATACGAAACCAGATTCTGAAAGACTGGACTGTCTACTTTCATCAGCAAAAAATAAGTGTGTTTCTCGCTAGTTTTGTTCTTCTGTAATCCCCGGTCGAATAGAGGGAAGTTTGACAGAAATCCCCGGTCTCAGACAAACACGTCAATGGCAGTCAATGAGTTAATTGGTTGATTATATGAAATCATCACTTTGTTTCTACTCTATGTAAAAAGAATATAGAATCTCTGAATCAAATGTGGACATGTAAAAATACGTAACAAACCGCAGCTCATTCCGTTAAATCATCATCGTCCGTTACATAAAATAAACAGGGCCACTAGGAAACTTGTCTAATGTATAAAACAGTTATGTTCTAGCAACTTCTAATGAACAGAGGAGGTGCTTGGAAACATGAAAAACATTAAATATCTTTAGATTATTAAAATCTAATGTTTTGCCTTTTGTCACACTTTTGTGCCCTTTAGTGTGAATAAGCCCATATGAAAATACACTCTGGTATTGTTCAGAGGGGCCGGAGCAAATGTAGAGGGGGGCCGGGTCCGGCCCGCGGGCCGCAGTTTGGGGACCACTATCATAATCAGAATCAGAATCAGAATCAGAATCATTTTTATTGCCAACGTAAGTAACAGGAGGTCACAGACTTGGAAATTGCTTTGGCTCAGTGCAACAGTCAAAAAGATATAATAAAAATAAGAATAAAAAACACTTCTAAAGAATAAATTTAAATTTAAAATAGAGTTACAGTTACTATTTACAATATACAAGTGCACATGGTGCACACAATGTAAGGTGACAGCAGTACAGTGAAGTAAAGTGACGTATGATGGGCAGTAAAGTGACTTTACTAAGCCAATCGAGCATCAGTCATTGTACCTTGTTAATGGAAACTATTTGAAAGCAGGTTTATTTTGATTTTCTGAAAACATTAGCAGTATTTTAGCCCTGCTCGTTACCTTCTAAGTCCATATACGCAGTATGTTCCATATGAAATGAATGGGATTTAGGAAACCCACCACAAGGAACTTCCTGATCAGGGCAAGTGACCACACATCCCACTGCAAAAACTTATTTCAGTCCCAAATCTACACACACAACAGCAGAAGAGCCTGGAGCAGATTACACACAGAAACCCTGCACTAAAATAGATGTTGGGTTATCCCACAGTGTCCAATCTAAAGCCACAACATGATGTATAACATTTCACACACAAGTGCAGAGGCCGAAAAAGACTCAAACACACACAGCTCAAAGTCTACCATTCTAACTATTGTGTTACTGACCCTAAAACATCATTAAAGCACGTGGTCAGAGCCACCTCAGGAGGCTCTAACGGACCCTCACAATGCTCTGACAGACCCTCACGAGGCTCTGACGGACCCTCACAACGTTCTAACGGACCCTCACAACGCTCTGACGGACCCTCACAACGTTCTAACGGACCCTCACAACGCTTTGACGGACCCTCACAACGTTCTAACGGACCCTCACAACGCTCTGACGGACCCTCACAACGTTCTAACGGACCCTCACGAGGCTCTAACGGACCCTCACGACGCTCTGACGGACCCTCACAACGTTCTAACGGACCCTCACAAGGCTCTGACAAACCCTCACGAGGCTCTGACGGACCCTCACGAGGCTATGACGGACCCTCACGAGGCTCTGACAAACCCTCACGAGGCTCTGACGGACCCTCACGAGACTAACGGACCCTCACGAGGCTCTGACAGACCCTCACGAGACTAACGGACCCTCACAATGCTCTGACGGACCCTCACGAGGCTCTGACAAACCCTCACGAGGCTCTGACGGACCCTCACGAGGCTCTGACGGACCCTCACGAGGCTCTGACGGACCCTCACGAGGCTCTGACGGACCCTCACGAGGCTCTGACGGACCCTCACGAGGCTCTGACGCACCCTCACGAGGCTCTGACGGACCCTCACGAGGCTCTGACGGACCCTCACGAGACTGACGGACCCTCACAATGCTCTGACGGACCCTCACGAGGCTCTGACGCACCCTCACGAGGGTATGACGGACCCTCACGAGGCTCTGACGGACCCTCACGAGGCTCTGACGCACCCTCACGAGGCTCTGACGGACCCTCACGAGGCTCTGACGGACCCTCACGAGACTGACGGACCCTCACAATGCTCTGACGGACCCTCACGAGGCTCTGACGCACCCTCACGAGGGTATGACGGACCCTCACGAGGCTCTGACGGACCCTCACGAGGCTCTGACGCACCCTCACGAGGCTCTGACGGACCCTCACGAGGCTCTGACGGACCCTCACGAGACTGACGGACCCTCACAATGCTCTGACGGACCCTCACGAGGCTCTGACGCACCCTCACGAGGGTATGACGGACCCTCACGAGGCTATGACGGACCCTCACGAGACTGACGGACCCTCACAATGCTCTGACAGACCCTCACGAGGCTCTAACGGATCGGATCTTAACAAAAGTGTGAGTGAAGCGCGTATCCAGTGAGTGCAGAGAGTTGTTGGAATAAAGCATTTGATGTGAAGTCCCCTCATAAAAGTCCTGTTTGAGTCCAATTATACAATAATAATAATAATAATGATGCATCAGTTTTATATGGCGCTTTTTTGGACACTTCACATGTCATTATTCAAATCACTCCAAACACGGTGGTGATAACTTACTACTGTAGCCACAGCTGCCCTGGGGCACGCTGACAGAAGTGAGGCAACCAGTCTGTGCCATCAGCCCCTCCCACCACCACAAACCATTCACACACACACCGGACAGTATTTTGTAACACTTCATGTGCCGTGGTTACAAAATACTGAGGGCTGTGGGACAGGTGTTGATGATCCAGGACATGCATGGACATGTGCGGACATTATCTGCTCCCTATGGACCAATGGTTCATATGTGTTTGTTATTAGTGCATTTCCTGTGGTCAAACCAGTAGGAGCGGATTCTGGCTCCAAAAAGGTCCATGAGTACGTGCTCGGGTACACCCCCACTCCTAGCTGGTGGGGGTGTACCCGGAAAGGGAATTACCCAATGCTTTTGCATGCTGCCTTCTTTCCTCTCGAACACATTTCCACAGGAGCTGTTGGTCCCAGACCCTGTCAATGCTGGAGTTTATGGACCAGTCTAGTTTAGCCGCTGTGAACTTTATAATGCACTTGTTAAATGAATGGGGCTCATGGTGGCTAACACATGTGCAAATGCATACTTTTCACATTTGTCTGCCCCACAGCCATTTTGAAAAAGCCCCACAGAAGGCAAAAGGGGTGGCACATTAGTTTACAGTTTATGGTTCAAACAGTTGGAAAACCGTGTAAAGTATACAGGATATTGTACAGTGGTTATCCTGAGACCAAACCTCTGACAAATTAATATAAATAAAGCAGCTGTGTGACCCCTCCCCTTTTTATACATCACAGTTCTATTTTAGGTTGCAATTCTATACGCAGCCTGTTTCTTGAAGCATATGTAACGCACACATATACAGCCACACTAAGTAACACAACTGAAGAGTCAAGATTCAAGCAACTTTATAGGTCTCCGAGGGCCAATTCATTTAAGAACATCCAGGATCCGCACCTGGGGAAGGTCCATCTCCAGTCCATAGTGCATCATATATTTCACTGATATATTGTTAACAAGATACTGTCTCAAAGATACAGATGGAGTGAGTTTATGACCCCTTTACACTTCATTCTATATTTTATTTACCAACATTTATCAAATACATACTATCTCAAATGTGATGGGTTCTTTTTCACAAACTCATGGCTTGCTCTGATTAGGCATTGTAGAGTTTTTTTACGTAAGACTTCTCAGTAGAAAAACAGTGTTAAAGTGTACAAAACATATTTACAGAGCACAATGAAAAGTCTTCAGGCGAAAAGGATATTTACAACAAAAATATACACAACTTCTACTTTAAGTCTCTTTTTTCCTTCTCTAGATCTCGCTCCTGCAGTCAACATTACCTTAGGCGTAACCAAGCCACCACTGCCCCGGGGCAGACAAGCACGCCTTAACTATCACGGCTTACCCCTCCCATAATTACATCCTATACAATATCTATCATCCAAACGTTACCATCTGTACAATGCATGGCACTATCTCATTGGTTCATGATTCCTTTAACACAGCAGACAATCATACCCCTGCACTCAACTGGTGAAAATCTGTCAGTTCTGCTTGATATTTTCACTATAGCCATGCTGCTTCTGTGGGACAAAAGCCTCCCATCTCTCCCTGCACCTCTTTTTGTACGTCTCTAAGCATCTTTGACATGCCAGCTCTGCCGCAGATGAGAGCCCTGCTGCTAAAAT